AATTTTGGCTTTCCATGATCAAGCGAACACGGATGGATGGAACTCGCCGTCAAAGCGTGTCCCATACCTTAGCCAAATCTTGGATTTTCGTGAAAATTTGATGTCCCCCACTCGAACCCTCCTGAATTTGACTCAAAGCCCTCATTGCCACGTTCCCAATCATCATGCCCCCCACCCGGGACAAGACGACATGACATGGCACGACTTGATGACTCGACATGCTGAACCATCACAAAGACTTGGTGGCAAGATCTTCACACCGAAATCTAACAACTCTGTCTCTATTTTTTCTCTCTAACTTTTTTTAGCCATGGTTGGCTACAAATTTTTTTTTTATATATAAATAATATATAATAACTACATTATATTTATTTATTTTATATGGCAAGAAGTGACAAACGTCACTGCTCTCCATATCCTTTGGCAACAATCCATGCACCAAAGGTGTACACCCATTGCCAAGTCCATGTATCAAACCAAGCAAGCGATCCATAGACCACATGACTCTTTTCCTCCACGAGAGATGACTCTCCATACATTAAATTTGAATTTTCTAACTTCTCAATGGGTGGTACATGGTCAGCATGTCTAGTCTTGGTGGCCTTGCATGAGGTCTCGTGCTTCTTTGCCTATGCCATCTTACTTGATATGTCAAGGCTATCATGATCGTTCTTCTGCCTTGCTTTCCCCCCACTTGATACATGCTTAATCTCCTACTGATGTTGGGGACCATGTATAGGCTTGACAAGTCGACAACCACTCGCCCGACTTCTTTGACTTTGTCTTTCAACATATAAACATTGTTGGCTCCTACACTTAGCATTCAACCACCATTGATTCTTTGTACAACCATGTTTTGCTGGTGTTTATGGTGACTTCTTATACATGCCCCCATGTCTACTCTTTGTGGTTAGTGACAAGTACATACCACTCATTGACATGAACTTGCCCCTCTGTCCACCATTGTCCATAATCTCATGCTTACAAATTCCATGAGCGGGTTTGACTTGTTGTGTCTTCTTGGAGATGCTTCCTAATCCATTCTTCATGGTGGGTGACATGCTCCCTTGTCCAGACTTAGCCAAATTTGCGAGACTATTACAACTCTTTCTACCTTTCCCATGTCTTTCCTTGTTAGACTTGCCCCCATGTCCACGGTTTGTGATTGGTGGCATGCCCCCTTGTCCATAGTTAGCCATATTATCATGTTTATCACAAATATGTGTGGCTTTGGATTGATGTCGCATCTTGGACACCACCTGCCCCCCAGATGGACATCTCGAATTCTCTTCATCAATTTTGAGACTCTTCTTGCACTGAGCACACAACTTCTCAACTTCATCAGTTGCGGCCAGACTGACCTGTTTGGTACCTGACAAGCTCCATTGCTCAAAAACCACGTTGGGGCTCCTTCGAGGCGGCGTTGTATCCAACACCAGCTTGAAGCGTGGTAACTCGACTTGGGAGAAATCTGGGTTGACCATGTTGACACCAAACACCTTGGGAAACAGATCAGTGTCCACCAACATGGCGCCCTTCTTTGCTTCAGGGAACTTGATATGTCCCTTTTCAATGGCATCCTGCAAGACATTATGGAACACCACACAAGCATCAGTGGCATGTGACATGCTATTATGCCACTTACAATAATTCTTTCCTTTTAACTTCTCTGGTGGGGGGAAGACATGCTCCCCTATTAACTTGACTTGACCATCCTTATAGAGTTGGTCAAAAATCAAGTCTGCCTTCGAGACATCAAAGGAGTACTTCATTGGCTGAATGGGAGCACAATTGGGTTTCCCCCCTTGCAGACCATCTTCAACTTTAGACAAAGAGGCAGACACGTATGGCTTCCCTGGAGTTATCTCAGCCAAGTCCACCTCAACCTCATTAGCCTCGTGGCTAACATGGTTGATAGTTTAGTCTAAGTTTGGGAAGTAGGATCCCTTTGAGGCACTCCTACAATTCTCTTCCTCATGTAGAAGAGACTCATACCTCACGACACAAGACACGAGTTGAAACAAGTCAGAGAACTCTCCATCTTGGAATTTCTTCCTTAGTTCAAAACTCAAACCCCCTTGTGCCAACTTGACGAACTCCCTCTCCGTCAAATTGGCAAAGAAACGATTACGAGCATTCTTGAAGTTAGTCAAGAAATGCTCCACCGATTCTCCTGGGTGTTGGCGCATACGTGCCAAGTCAGCCATGGTCACCTCGGGCTCGGATCTATAAAATTGAGCATGGAAGACTTGCTCTATTTGCTGCCAAGTTTGGATGGAGTTAGATGGCAAGTTGACGTACCAAGCAAAAGCTGACCCTATCAATGAGTTGCCGAACAATCTTAACTTTATGAAATTTCCTACATCCCCACATTGGATTGTAAAACGTCCAGCGTGCTCTACAATGGACTGATCTCCAGTCCCTGTGAACCTGGCAAACTCAGGGACCCTGAATCCTCTTGGAAATGGGTGGAGCCTGTCTACCCATTGTGGGTACGGCTTACAATATACAGGTGGCATGGAAGGTCTTACTCCCATGCCAAACTGCTCCGTGAGAAGTTGAGCCACTTGATCCCTAAGGGTGTTGGTGTCATGCCTCATTGGTTTCCCCCCATGCGGTACAAACTACAAACCCAATGGGGCCATGCCATGCCCATTGAAATAGGGTGGCATTGGAGTTGGGTAGCCTCGTGGTGGGATGTGATCCATATTACCACCTAGACCTCCTCCTACTCCCAAATTCATGGGAGCTACGTAGGGTCTTGCCTCCGGGATAGAGGGACGAGCACTCACTTGCATGGGTGGCTGCTCGACTCGAGTATTGAGCATAGTGACAAGGTTCTCACCACACGGGGGTACCACAAATCCCACGCGTCCATGTGATGACTCTCCCACTTGAGCAGTAGTGGGAATCTCGACATCAACTACTCGACGTGGAAGTGGTTGGCTTGCCGTCTGAGGCGGCAAGTTCTCTTGACGTGGTTGGCCATTCCGACCACCAGCGTGAGAAAGAACACTATTTGTAGGCGTTAGGCTTGTGCCATCTAATGGCAAAGCTCTTGACTGCACTACTAGTCTAGTTAAAGAATGTCGGAACTGATCCAACTTATTTGTATTTTTGTTAACTATTTCAAGAAATTGACTCAAATGTCTATCTAAGCGAGAATTGAGACAATCCATTTAAGAATTTAACTGATGAATACTAGCCCGAGTCTCCTCCAACATGCGACGGTTCTCCTCCGTGGCTGGAAGGTTCTTTGCCACCATCTTGCGGTTCTCCTACGTGGCTTGACGGTTCTACCACCATCTTGCGGTTCTCCTCCATACCCTGACGAAGGGCTCCAACGGCTTCACCGAGATCTCCACCAGGCGTGGTCGCCACCAAGATCTCTGCTCCACCGTTTCCTCTGGTCACCACGTCGGACACTTGTCCATGCTCGATGTTGGCCACCTGCTTCTCCATGCAACCAACCGGAACGTCACCTTTTTGTTTCCTCCACCTCGGAGCCATCGAATCGACCACAAACGTCAAACCAGGTGTGCCAAATTTTGTGTTCTGGCGAGAAAACATGCTTTGAAATGAATTGAATGCACATTCACTTCTTTGGACAACAATCACTAAACACAGCCCACACCTCTTTAAACACTATTCGAACGAGGGTGTTCGATGTTCACATGAATCTCGAGATAGATCTACATTAAGTTAATCCTACTCCTATAGAGGTTCAGTGAGAGCTCCAGATCTACGACTACAGCTAAAATTGCAGAGGAAAGGATAAAGGGATAAAATTTGACATTGTGTTGTCTGGTGTGAATTTGGCGAACCCCTTCTCAGTCAACTCCTCCTCCTATTTATAGCCTTGAAGTGCTAACGTCGTAGAAAAACCGTTTGAGAGTAACTTCCAGAAAGAACTACTCCCCTTCTTCCTCGGACGTGGCTAACGTGTTCTTGCACGTGGGATGATCGACAGTTGCTCTGTTAATCACCTTCTCTTTATCTTGGAACTGTCGTCTTGTTACTTGCCTCTCCCACATGGCTTGCTTTCTTACTTCCAACTTGTTAGTTCAGATCTTGGACATGGTCTAGACTCATGATGTGATATAGATCTCGCGACCACGTCGGACTCTAAATTTGACACCAACGTGGTCTAGATCTCGCGACCACGTCGAGCTCTAAATTTGAGTGGTCTAGACCTCGCGACCACGTCGGGCTCTAAATTTGAGGCCAACGTGGTTAGATCTCGCGACCACGTCGGGCTCTAGATTTGACGCCAATGTGGTCTAGATCTAGCGACCACGTCGGGCTCTTCAACTCGCGACGAGACTATCTCCTTCTTGGAGACTTAGTAGTTTGGGGCTTAAAACTATTATCATGAGGCTGAATTTAAATAACATCAATTGTCATTAGTGACCTGACCTTACAAAGATAATAAATGCCTTGTAAATAGTCAATGTGGTACGAGATTATTTTTTTAACTGTAAACATTTTTCATCAGAAGATTTTCATCTCAGCTGTTGCTCGTAGTCACCTCCGCAATTGAAAAGATGCTTCCAAACTTTTCTTTCCTCCATTATCCTCTCTCTATTAAGCCATTTGCGGCAGTTTCCATCGAGAAGGAGACGATGGAGGCGGAGGGCCTTGACAAATTTCTCATAGAAATGGAGACCGATGATGTAACAACCTGTACAACTGGGAGAGTGACGTGTAATGGGGAACTAGAGTATTAATAGAAGGGTCTCAATTGTAATGGGATAGTTTTTATCCAATAAACAGAAGAATAGCTACTTTACCAATTCTGTTAGATTAGCTGTAGAAATAAAACTCATTTTCTCTTCTCTGTATCTCCATCTTCTTCCTCCATTCAATCCATTTTGCCAGATTCCTCCAACACGATCCTAACAAGTGGTAATCAGAGCTTGTAATCTTGCAATGGCAACGAACACCTCTCGCACCGTTGTTTTGGAATCTCAAATGGCGGCCATCAAGCAACAGATGGACTCATGGCATCGGGATCTGAAGACTGCCATTCCTGCTCTTGCGGCTTCGACGTAGGCCTCCATCGACTCTCTTACTGCTTCGTTGGAGCAACAGCGGGACGATTCTCTTTCTTCTCCACCGAGCACGGCGACGAGAACTCTGGACCAGATTCCTTCTCCCACTTTCAATTCTGCTTTTCCCATGTCTCCGGCCACCTCACCCCCACCGCAACAGAGTACCAGCGACAATCAATATTGCGCCTTCAACCGTCCACCACCACGACAACCTTCCTTTGTCATCTCCGAGCAAATTGGATCAATGGCGGATTATCAGGTTCTTTCTCCTCTGTCTTCACCAGCGATGGGAACCCTAATTCCTTCATCATGTCCTTATTCTAGAAAAATTTTTGGCCCAATTTCTTCATCCTTAACACCATATTCGAGCTCCTCGGTCTTTCTTGAATCTTTATCTTCTCATTTGCCTCTGAATTCAGCTGCAATCCCTAATTCTTCTAGTCCGCTGCCTTCTGTTTCGTCAGTTGATGTATACCCAATACAGCCGTTTGCTTATTCTCCTGTTGGTTCATCAACTTCGAAGCCTTCACTTCCATCTCGTCCTTCTACTGCTCCTAATCACGAGGCAGTCTTCATGGATACAAAGATTCACACCCCTAACTCGTTTCCTTCATCTTCTTTCTACCTTCACCACCCCAAAAGCCTCCTACTCATTCTACTGGAACCCATTTGTTACCCAAACTCCATACTACATATTACTTCAATGAGGATCCTATTTCCATATGTTCTCTGAAGAATGAATCTTTAGTTTCGAGCGTGGTTGGGAGTATAGCTGGCAATTTTGTATTGGAGTTCACTGTCCTGCACGGTTTCCTTCTGGATTTCCTGGTTGCCTCATCCAATTGAGTGACTCTAAATGGGATTACGGGGTTCAACTATGTCGTGGTTGTTGTCGGAATTGTGTGGTTTCTATAGGGAGGGGAAATTGTCCTTGCTTCAAGGAGCCATATAAGGATTATTGTTGTGATGTTACTCTGTATTCAAGGAAGGCCTTAAATTCTGGTGTTGTAATCTATCTGTGTTACTCTTGGGTTGTGCTTATTCAAATTGCAGTTGGGTTCAATCAGTCTTTGTGTTTGATAGCTGCGGAGTTGGTTGAGATGTTATGTCAAACTCTTCCTCTACCTGACGGCTGGAACCCACATGAGAGTTGCTGTACAATGCCCAGCACCATGACTACTGTCCAACTTCCAAATATTGGCCAGGTGATTAGTGCACCAATCGAAATTGCAAGAGTTGGTATGGCTTACAAGTTAGCCTTGCCGGCCAGTTCCCAAGTGCACCATGGTTCCTTGAAGCTGGCACCACAACAGATTCAGTGTAGGCGATTTGTGTACAAGGAAAACCAGGCTGAGATGCAAGTCTTGTGTAGTGGACCCATCCGTCACTAGAGGAAGCTACTTCGAACTCTGCACATCTACCATCCCACCTGCTGCTCTGCAACTTCCGCAACAAGATATTTTTGGATCCTTGAAGATTGCTCCAACTCACATTTTGGCAAGAAGACTCATCAATCGGGACAATCGAGCCGTGACGCAGATCTTAGTTCAGTGGACTCATCAACTTCCAGAGAAGGCTACCTGGGAGGATTTGTATGTTTTCAAACAATAATTTTCCGTCTTTCCAGCTTGACATCAGCTTGAGGAAAAGCTATTTTTGAAGAGGGAGGGTTTGTAACAACCTGTACAGTTGGGAGAGTGACGTGTAAAGGGGAACCGAAGTATAAATAGAAGGATCTCAATTGTAATTGGATAGTTTTTACCCAATAAACAGAAGCATATCTACTTTTCCAATTCTGTTAGATTAGCTGTAGAAACAAAACTCATTTTCTCTTCTCTGTATCTCCATCTTCTTCCTCCATTCAATTCATTTTGCCAGATTCCTCCAACACCATCCTTACAAGTGAGGTGAGGGCTCATTTTGAGAAGATGATTAGGGAGTGCCCCCGATTTTGACTAGCGAGTCTTGTTCCTGAGAATGGATGGATGGTCTTGTCCGGGAGCAGGCACCATCGCCGAGAGGGACTAATCCTAGGGGAGGAGGAGGGTTTCAAAGTGAATTAGTTTAGGGTTTCAGTTTTTTAATTAGCTAATTTAGATATAAAATAATTAAAATCAAAATTAGGAGTATTTAAAAGTTAATTAGGGGCAATTGAGTCTTTTCACAGTTCCTTTAACGAACACTTAACTGAAAATTGGATGGAAGGGTAAATTTGTTACGTTTCAATATTAGAAGGGTATGTTTGTTCAAAATTTAGTAGAGTAGTACGTTTGTTAATTTACTATAATGGAGGAGGTACTGACTCGCTATGACACAACTCCTAACAATGGCCAAGTGTAACCAATGAAAAGGACTGCAGTATAGTGGCTCAAGTAATAAATATCGAATCAACGGGTCCCTAGAGTTACTATTACTCATCTTTAGTTCATTATCTAGCAAACCAGATTAAGATTGAAGAACTAAAACTACTCCAAAAAACTACAGTTAAAGTTAATCTAATTACAGGTTGGGAACTCACTTAGGCATGATTTCCCCTAGCCACTAGCCAGATTAATGATTGATGATCTCTAAACTGTTTCACTTCCATTCACAATGCGGAGAATTCTTAACTAGACCTTGAGTCTCGACTAAAGGAACAAGGCCCTCTTGAGTCAATTGCCTAGAGAGACGTATCCTTTTCTAGAACAACCGATCAAGGCGTTCTGAACTAGATTCCCTCTATCGAATGAGGTTCTCAATCGATACAAAGCATTGAATCAACCCTCGACTAAAGTAATCTATCCAATACTATCAATCTACTAAAGTAATCTATTGACCTAATCAGGTATTCGCTCTCATAGGATCAAAGCAGAATCAATAATATTGACTAAAGCAGAATTGAATCGTGAAAACATGCATAGATTGAATATGAACTCAAGATTATCAAGTAAGAGTACTCATACAATCATCCAATCAAACAAACATAGCTAGGGTTCCTCAAAACCTAAGTGAAGGGAAGTTACTCCATAGAGAAGAGAGAGACTGCAGTAAGAATCTTCAGATGATCAGTCTTCAAGTCCGGGCTTGTTCCTCGAGCTTCCAAGGTGAAGAAATCCTCCAATTGCACTCCAAGAATGCCCTCAAATCGCCCTCTCTCTCTTTGGTTCGTCCCTTGGGTGTTTGGGATCCAAAACCCAGCTCCCCCTTTCCTTTGGCTCGAAATTGGGTTAAAACCCAGAATTTCCCGACCACATGGCCAGGCCACACGGCCGTGTGGCTTTCCAGTCTGCCCGTGTGTAGGGGTGGTAACCGATTTTCCGGTTAACGGTCTAACTGGTAATCGAACCGGTAACCGGCAGTTATCGGTTATACCGTTAACCGGCGGTACCGGTATACGGTAGCCAAAATAGTATACTCGGTATACCGGATTCAATCCGGTTAATAACCGGCAGTTAGCCGGTATACCGGTAACCGAAACCACCCTCATATATAATTGCAAAACAATAGTCCCTCCTCCTGCCGATTCACCAAACCCTTCCCTGCTGTCCTTCTCTTCTCCCTTCACCATGAGAGTCACTGCCGCCTTTCTCTTCTCTCCAATCCAAACCAAATCTTCCCTGTTCAAATAAATAAATCTTCTCTTCTCCCCAATCGAATCTCACCCTTCGATAGAAATAATATTCGCCGGTCATCTTTCCCTTTCGACAGAATCTTCTCCAGTTACAGTCCCAAATTTCCAATTCGACAGAAATCTTCTCTTCTCCTTCTCCTCTCTCCATTCGAACCATCTTTCCCCTCCATACTGCCGCATCATCATCTTCGTCGGCAAATCCCCGGCAGAAAATCGTTGACCTAGGTCACTGAATCTCCATATTGGCACCGCTCTATCTCCCTCTCGATTCTAGATCTGCAGCAAAGGAGGAACAACATCTGCATGGCCAATCCCCCCTGATTTCGTCGCAATCTCATCGTTGAAAGGCGTTGCTTCCATCGTATGGGGTGATGGTGCCGAGGAATTTGGCGGTTTTGCGGTTAGCCAGTTGGTAACCGGTAACCGGTAACCGGCTATCCGGTTAGTCGGGTAACCGAGTAGGAACCGGTATCGGTATTCGGCTGCTGTTTTGTGATATCCGGTATACTGTATACCGGCTAGTCGGTTACCGGTTAACCGGTAACCGACCGATTACCAGCCCTACCTGTGTGGATGTCAAAACACCGCGTTTCGATTAGTGGACTTCAGGCACGCTGCACGGCCAGAGGCACACGGCCATATGGATTTCCAGTCTGGCCGTGTGAGCTCCCTGGACTTTCCACACGGCCAGTGTGATTTTCCCGTGCAAAGTGGTGTCACACGGCCGTGTGGAATTTTAAGCGTGCCCGTGCGTCTTCCTCAGCTTCTCGCCAAACGTTCAATCTTCGTCCAATCGACCCCGAACTCATTCCCAAACCTTCATTCACGTACTAGGATCTGAAATATCACAAACAAGAACAACCTAGCGTGAAATCGGCCTAAAACACGAGAAATAAGACTCAAACGGTACAAGAATGGTGGACAAAAACATGTGTAAATATGAAGTCATCAGGTACAAAATGCTATTAACCTAATATAATATGATCTATGACTGTTGTGCAAGGTTGTCAACCCGCGGGTTGACCCGGACCCGGTGAAGCTAGTGGGTCAAGGGTTAATGGGTTACCCGGTTTAGCCCGGAAATATGGAAAGAGTCATTATATTATACTTATCCTGATAAATTATATCAAATCTCATCTAATATATGAGTTATAACATATAATATTACACTAAAATAACATGCCGTACTTAGATCCAACATATAGTGAAAATTCACACACAATTATATAACATCAATATTCAAATGTTCAGCTTAGGATTCCAAAGATTGAGTTAGGCAAAAAGAAAGCAAAAAATAGGCGTATTTCGCAAACCAAAGAAAAAAATGGCAGAATTTGACCTCCAATCCGGTAACTTGTAGCGGTCGACCCGACGGGTGCGTGCAACCCATTTTCCTCACCGGGCCAGGGTCGACCTGCCGGTTGACAACCTTGCTCTTGTGTCAAGGATCCTAATCTCTCCTTGTCTTCCATTTAGTTCACTAGAAGTCACAAATAAAGTAAACTTGTATGAATTCCCAAAATCTTGCTATAGAATAAACATGAAGAGTGTCTTGTTAAAATGATTGTATTTTTCACCATATTAAAAGTTTTGACTATTTTATGGTATTTTGAATTGTTTTGACTAGTGCTGATTAACGATTATCCCGTTAACGATGTAACCGATAACCAATCAGAATCGATGCTTAACGGTTACACCGATAACCGATTAAATA